AATCATGTGGATGTAATAATTGTTAATCATGTGGATGTAATAATTGTTAATCATGTGGATGTAATAATTGTCATGTGGATGTAATAATTGTTAACCATGTGGATGTAATAATCATGTGGATGTAATAATCATGTGGATGTAATAATCATGAGGATGTACTAATTGTTAATCATGTGTGTCTGCTGTGAACAATAATCATTTTCACATCATGAACAGTTTCTCAGAATCACCTCTAAGTGTCTCCAGTGGAACCAGAACCACAGAAACTTGTGACACCAGCCCTGGAGTTGGCGTGGGGTTGCGCACATTTCCACCTTCATTTCAGTTTTCATACATCCGGAGTTTTGCATGGAAAATGGCGTACGCAAGGTTTTGTGCGTACACACCGTTGATACATGAGGCCCCTGGTCATTTTATGACGCATTATGTGTATTTTTAACACTAGAATTGTGTTATTTCCTTACACTAATGTGTTAACATTTATTGTTTTGTTTTTCATTACATAGAAAATGCATTGTGCATTTAGTAACCTGACATATAAGATCAGTGTAAGTTTTACACTGTAGGCTACAGAGCAGATTGTACTCTGACTCAGAGTTAACGTCAACTCTTTAAGAGTTGTTTGAACAAAGCAGCACAACAGAGTTGACCTTCACACACTAGGAAGTACCTCTCACTCATGGCGTCCATTTATGACCAATAACAGACTTAAACTTCAACAACTAAATAACCTGAACAAGACAACTAACCAGATCAACTCAGTTTTACACTCACACACATGCAAAACATAATTTCTACAAGATTACCCCGCATCCTTTATTTGAATATTCTGGTTCATGTGGCATGAGGTGGAAGAGGGTGGGGCTTTTCAAAATCAACACTACGTGGTGTTAAATAACAACACCGTTAAGTGTTATACAACATTTAACACTTATAAGTGTTACTTAACAGTGGGTGGAGCTCATTTACAGAGTTAAGACAACACTGATGAAAATAACTCTGTGAATTAACACTAACACTGGCTGTCAGTTAACTCAGGAAGTGTTAAAATAACACTTAAGTGTTAAAATCAACTCACTGAAATTTTAACACTTTGGTTTTTGCTGTGGACATTCTCCAAGAAGCTTTGTGGTTTGTCAACATGTAGTTTACCTTTAACATGCTTGTCTTATAACCTTTACCTTTAACATGCTTGTCTTATAACTTTTACCTTTAACATGTTTGTGTATAATTTTCTTTCTAATCTCCTGAGACAACTCTTTCCTTGTCTTCCTCTGGTCCATGTTGAGTGTGGTCCACACCATGTCGGCAAACAGCACAGTGAGTATCTGTAGCCCTGTATACAGGTCCACCGACTGATTACAAGACTGTAGACACCTGTGATGATAACTAGTGGACACAACTTGATTAAACATGACCCTTTGGTCACATTATTTTCAGGGGTACCATTATTTCCTTTGGGAAAAATATATTTTCATTCTATAAAGGTTTAAACATCCAGATGTTAACAATGTAATATCAAGTCTACAATCCTTTTAATCTTTAACTGTTTCAGAAACATTAGTGCTTCGTCTTTCATGTTGTTATTTTTACTGTTTTATCCATGATCCAATGAAATTGATTCTTGCTATAGTTTTTTGTAATAAATTACCATAAAAGACAAAGCTGGTTCCTCATCTGAGTATTTTGGCCTGAGGTAAGAATTACCTGCATTTCATACGATCACTCACAGTCTGCTTAAAGGGATCCATGATTAGTTGTAACTTTAGACTTTATTTGATAAACATTTATTTTACTGTAAAATAAAGACTGTAAAAATGTTGTAGGCTGTTTAGTTTTGTAAATTTTTAAAATATATTTTAACACGGACGGAGCCATTTTATTTCCACGCAAAGCATTCTGGGTAAATGATAACGTGGATAGGTCCTCGGTGCGAGGCTGCTAGCGAGCTATATCCACCCTGAAGG